CTCCGTGTATTGTAGACGGGCCTTTACAAGTACATAAAAATTCCTAACCTGAGCCCTGAAGAGTCATGGAATTTACCGATAAATATTTTAGTTCACGGGGAAAAGCAACGCTTTTTCTGCCAGATTCTTTCGTTTTATGAAAAATCGTCGATTGAGAATTAATTTCATCGATTTTTGAGGTGAAACTCTAGCATCCCCTTAATATAATTGCATTTTAAATACTTAAAGTACTTACACACAAAAATTATTTAGATTAATTTTATCATTATATATTTTTCAAATTTTATCAATATTGTAATAAGAAAATAAAAACAAATAAAGTAAACAAAAATGTGCCTAATAAAAATAAAATGCTTGAAATACAACTTAATTCATATGTATATAGCTTATTTAAAATATAAATATTAACACATTTGTAAAAATTAAATATAACCTGAATGTTAATACTTCTAAGCGAAATAAACGTCACGCGCATGTAAGATTGCAGAGATTAATATTTCTGATCCATAATTTGTGAATGTAGCACGATTTTACGAAACAAGTATCAATGTATCATCTCGAGTTGAAAAGTAGACGTATTACCCTCAGAAAAGTGGACGTGTTACCGTCAGAGCTATGTAGTTTACATCCACTTTGTCAGAGGGCAGTAGTGCGCGCCAGTATTTTGCAGTTACAGGTTTTAGGCCGGTATTCATAGTAGGATCTTATATTTAAGACCATCTTAAGTACAGTCTTAAGATGTCATGAACCAATCAGAAGGCCGCATTGGCGACTTAAGACATTACTTAAGACGGTCTTAAAATAAGAACCGACTATGAATACCGGCCTTAGGCCGGCATTGCATTTCATGCATTTCATGCATTTCATGTGTGTAGCCCTTAAGACTCTATACGTAGAGTCATAGGCCAGTATTCATAGGCCGGTATTCATAGTCGGATCTTATATTTAAGACCGTCTTAAGTACAGTCTTAAGATGTCATGAACCAATCAGAAGGCCGCATTAGTGACTTAAGACATTACTTAAGACGGTCTTAAAATAAGAACCGACTATGAATCCCGGCCATAGTCAGATCTTATATTCAAGATCGTCTTAAGTACGGTCTTAAGAAATCACGAACCAATCAGAAGGCTGCATTAGCGTCTTAAGACATTACTTAAGAAGGTCTTGAAATAAGACTCGACTATGAATATCGGTCCTAGGACTCTTAGGCCGGTATTCATAGTCGGATCTTATATTTAAGACCGTCTTAAGTACAGTCTTAAGATGTCATGAACCAATCAGAAGGCCGCATTAGTGACTTAAGACATTACTTAAGACGGTCTTAAAATAAGAACCGACTATGAATACCGGCCTTATAATACGTAGTAAGGAATTAAAATGGCGGTCTGATCATTTGATTTAGACAGCCAATCAGACCATACCCTTTAATGTCGCATCTCTGTTATCTAGGGGTGCGTTCCGTAACTCGCATGATGCGCATAATGCGTCGTTTATCCTTGTTGCTCACCAAATGTTAAACAAGGACAATGGATGCATCATGCGCCTCATGCGCGATACGGAACTAACGCACCTTAGGCCTCTAGGGCTAGCATGTATCGAATATCACATATTTAAGTACTCCGAGGCGATAATAATGGATGATTATCGCATGCCTGCGAAACGGGCAAAATTTGATATTTCTAATAAGAGTATGAAGTATCATAAAATACAGGAAGAAGTTTCTACGAATAGAAACGCTCAGAATGATGATCTTTGGGGTGATGATTTTGATGAAGAAGATATTGAGGAAATGGATTTGATTGCATCTCAAGCTTGTGTACAGGTAATGCTATTGATGTAGTTTCACTTTTGAAATGTGCCATGAAATTTATTTATAATCTGAATCTTTACTTTCAAGGAGGCTAACTTGTTAAATAATTTAAGACTACATGATTTGAATTCGGTGAAATCATATTTTCCAGAGAGAACAACTGCCTATAATGAAACATGTTCAAAATTACCACAAGCTATAGAAACGTCTAATTCACCCTTGTTAACAAAGAATGTACAGAGTACAAGTCAGAATCATCAGAACATAACAGAAATGAATTATTCTCAGTTTAGAAAAAAGTTAATACATAAAAAAGATCATAATTCAACTTTCCAAAAGAGCAATAAAATTATTGTACATGGTAATGTCATTGTAGAAATACTAACAATTATAAAATATCTTTATTCATGATTTCTTTTACGTATATTTATAGATGATAAAGAATTGGAAAAATTAAAAACTGAAAACAAAAAATTGTTGAATGATTTTATAACTAAAGATGGTGAAACTGCATTTTTGCGGCAGCAACTACAACAAACTCAGTTAAGAGTTGAAAATGAGAAATTAGAAAAGATGCGTTTAATTGAAGAACAAGCCAATCGTCATAGATCGGAGATTAACAAAATTTATAAAGAAAAAGAACAGCTAAAAACACGATTTGAATTACAAGTGAGTTTTATTCTTTTGCTTGATATCACAAAAATATATGATAACGTTATCTATTAATGTATAGAATCTGGAAATAGGAAATCTTCAAGAACGTTATAAACTATTAGAATCTGGAAATATTAAACTAAGGGAACCACAAGTGTACACAAACTCTTCTATTGATAAGTGCAAATATGTTATCCCAATAAATCGGTAACATAAAAAACAATTCAAATTATTTGATTTTTATGAACTTAATATTTAAAGTATTTATAACTAATGTATAATATGTATTTAATAGGATCACGAATAGGAATCTAAAAATGAAAGAAGTATGTGTACAAGCTAATATTTATAAGAAAAATGATTATCAACTTAAGACATTTAATATTTGTGAGTATACTATTATAAAATTATTTAGAATATATTTAGGATGTATTCATCTGTTTTATACAGGCTAACAACTTTAATTACAACTTAACAAATTTAAATTATTACTGAAATGTCACTTTTATTGATATTTTATTGATTGTATTAATACTTAATATCAAATTTGTAACATTATTTATAATAGCAGTACAATCTCTGACTAGACGCGCGCGCGCGCGCGCGCGCGCACACACACACACACACACACACACACACACACACACACCCACACACAAACACACACACACACACACACACACACACACACACCTACCTACCTACTTATTCAATAAAATATGCAATAAAATCAACAAATCAATAAAAGTGACATTTCGATAGTGATTTGAATTTGTCATGAAGATTCCTACAATATTATGGAACAAAAATTGTATGTTATTTAAAAAATGTAAGATGACTTTGATTTCCTTATGAAAAAAAAATTTTTTTAATATCTTTATCGCATGTTGTAGCCTATATAAAACAGAAGAATACTCACCTTTCCATTTTTTTTAACTGTCGGAAGTGTCTGAAAAATCGTGTGGACCATTACGCTGAACACCCTGTATATTATTGTGACAATTTTGTAATACCACAAATATTTTTTAGATTTTCCTCTTGCAAGAATTTCAGAGTTAATGTTTGGAGCATCACTACCAGAAAAATCCATCGTTAATATTAAAGTCATAGAAAAAACTGGAAGGAGAAATTTACCTATTTTGCAAGAAGAAGAAACATTTAGAATCTTTGGTAAATGTTATTCACAGAATTATTCTACAAGAATGTACATATTAATACAGTCATATAAGGTATAAGAGCAATCATATCAGGTTACTTTTTCAAAAAATATATATTTTCTTGAAAAATTTTCCATACAAAAGATATAGGATTCTAAGTGTCGCATTAATAGAAATGTTAGTGTGACCTTGGGACATATTTGGATGGAGATCTGGATGCTCCTAGATGTCATCCTTGTTATTTATTGAATGTTAAACGAGGATGACATGACACTCGAGAAACACCGAGGTGGGAATCAGGACACACTTTAGGATAGCATTGTTGGAGTTAGGTAAAAATCACTTCAATATTTTTTAATGCAAATTCCTATTTTTTAATGCAAATTCCTATTTTTTATTTCATATTTTTGTAGTTGATTTCGAGTGTTTTTCAAAGTGTTAGGTATTTTAACCCTCAGCTGGCACGTTATATCTGATTCGAGATTTTGGAGCACATAAGTGTGTTACCCTCACGTTTTCAATCATAAACAAATTTTTTTTTAATCGATACACCAAAAATTCAGAAAGAATGAATGGGCACGAAAATAAAAAAATTGAAGATATTCGAAATATTCAGGAAAAAAGAGAAATATAAACATTGAAATTCGCGAGAAAACCGGGTTTTCTTTGAAAATTTGTAGTTTTAAGGAGAAAACTATTGGAGAGATTTTTCTAGCGGGGTTTTAAAGGTAATCGAACGTACTTTAAGAAAAACATATCATTATTTTGATTAGTTTCAAAAAGTATATTTGTTCAGCAAGGTGAAGTTAGGTCAACAATTTAATAAATGAGTTTGAACTTTATAAACAGTAAAATAATGCACAATTATAATATAAAAATGACATACTTACGTGAAAAATATTGCTAAACACACTTTCTAAGCATATCGAGCTATATATTTATTCAGATTTTGTTTCAAGCGTTTCTATTAAATAACATAAAAAATGCTACAAATCAACTTATTTTAATTTATTAACGATAAATAAAACTTACTGTACACAAAAATTCTTAAATTATTAAAAATTTTTATTTATTAACGATAAATAAAACTTACTGTACACAAAAATTCTTAAATTATTAAAATAAGATTGTCGAGATTTGTACTTTCGAGATATGTTTCTGGAGCTATAATACTAGAATATTGACAGTTAACGATTAGAGTAAATTCTCATTCAATTCTCACAGCATGCTGTGGGGGGAGGGGGGGATTACGAGGAGGTATATAAAACTTTTTATCCCCTACTCTAGTCTTCCCCATCTTTATGGTTTGTGAATGCTTAGCGCTGTTTTATACAGCTTGAGTGTACGTAACCTAGAGCTCATGCTTAATATATAAATCATAAATAAAGAAATAAATTATATATAAATTTAATATATAAACTGTAAATAAAGGTACTTTTCATTAAATTTTTTTCGAATATTATGATGTATTAAAAATTAAGATATTACCGATATTAGCATTGTCCAAGGTGTCCAATTGACGACTAAAATCTTTTAAGGCTCCTAAGTAGTCACCTTAGCCATATATTGGATTGTGACGTCATAAGCGAGAAATGACATGTTGATTTTTCTTGCATGCCATGTAAATGAATAAAGAGAATTTGGATGAAATGAAATGATGAGACTGCTTTAAAACATGTTAAAATGGGTTGAGATTATCCTTGTCTCCCCTGATACTCAGTAAATAGTAAAAAAAAGCTTGTGAAGTGAGAAAATAGATTACACATGCGCATTGAGTAAAAGCTAGTAAACGCAATTTATTAGGTATGAAACTTAATTCCTGCCGTTTTTCGTTTCCAAAATTGATTTGTTTCGAAGGGAAATATCTTAAAGTATTATTAATAAAGTATTATTAATTAGTAATAAAATAGAAAATGGAGGAAATTACTTTGATTAAGGTATTCATTCATCTTCCTTTCGAAACATATCAATTTTGGAGACGAAAAACGGCAGGAATTAAGTTTAACACCTAATATATGTCTTTTATGTGATTCTTTACTGGCTGTCAGGGGAGATAGTCGGGTCCATTTTTACAAGTATTTTAAAGCGATCTTATTATTGTATTTCATTAAAATTCTTTCTATTTACAAATTGCAAGAACAATCAACCTTTATGACACATTTCTCGTTTATGACGTCATGATTCAATATGGCTGAGTTGAGTACTCAGGAGCCTTAAATGTTGTACAAGGTCATGATTATACTCGTATACACTTTTGGAACTTAAAGTCAGAGGTATACAAGGTCTATAAAGTCTCTTATCATCTTTATATTTTGAAAACATCAAAATTATGAAAAATCAAAATACGTGTTCGATTTTCGAGAAGCTACTTTTTTAAGGGAATTAGAGAGGTTGCTCTCTCCAAGGGGAGTACCCCTAACTCAAAAATTTCAAATGAAATCCTCTACAGTATATAATATGAAAGGGCATGAAAAAAGAAAGTTGTTGGTTCAGTACGGAGGTTGATAGGTAGACCCGTTCGGAAGTTATTCAATGTCAAACTTTGAAAAATTCCGTTTGTTCTTATCTTTCAATAAGTGTCAGATTTATTGCAGTAATTGTTCAAAATGAGCATTGTTCAAATCTTCATAAAATATTTGATTATAAAATTCCTCTTTTATACATTCTGAAATATTTTATTAGATATTTTTACAAGCTGCCGTAATCCGCTATGATTCGAAGTGTGTTCGAGCACACTGACCACGTTTACACTGTTCGATTTACGCCGAAGTTATAACATCGATGTTATGAAACTGGTCAATTATAGCTATTCTTCTGAAGAAGGAATGACTTGGCCAGTTTCCTAACATCGATATTATAAGTTCGGCGTAAATCAAAACGTATAAATGTAGTCACTGTAATTCACGTATAATAGAATTTCTGCTAACATACCTTACGCACTGCGAAAAACAGTAATCAAAAATGCTTCGGACATCGGCAGTTCGTGCAGAACGTAGGATGGTAATTTCACAATCGATTATTTCAATATCAAGAAGTGAACGGTGTTTATTTTAAACAGTTGCTGCAATGAATCCAATGTATTGAAGGTTAAAATAAATAGAATTTTTCAAACTTTGACACTGAATAACTCACAAACGGGTCATTTATTCTCGCATTGAACCAAAAACTTTCTTTTTTTATGTCCTTTCAAATGATTCAAACTCCTATGAGAAGTTTCATTTGAAATTTTTGAGTTAGGGCAACCTCAATCTCTTTAAGGAGGTATAGTAGGGGAGGCCAAGCGGGGATTTTGGGATTTACTCGAGCGCGTCAGAATAACATAAAGGGGGAAAGCTTGCACCCTAATAAGTACCCCCATAACATATTAAACCTCTATATAGAGCCGGGGGTCCAGGGGAGCCCGTCAAATTAGTATCTAACTCGAGCGCGTCAGATTAAGGTATGGTGTGTTAATTACATGTAGAAAAGTGTACATTTCAATAATCTGACGATTTCAGCGTGACGTAAGGAAATGGGAGAGTCGCAAAGTTGCAAAAAAAAAAAACGTGACATGGATTTTTTGACCCCTTCCTACAGCTAACCCCACCACGCAAACCGTCAGATTAATATTTATCCGTTATCAGAAACACATGGGTCGCTTACACTATTAATATCTGACACGCTCGAGTACTTCATTGTCACTTTTGTGACAATGTTATTTTTGAAAGCCTGTACACGCTCCCCCCACCACTGAAACGGCATACATCGTATAACCTTTTTTTCTTTTTAGCATCTAATCTTCACAATCCAATAGGTCCCCACTACGCTCGAGTAAATCCACATTTAACCTCTCGGCCTCCCCGTCTAGTATATATACTCTGTTCAATGAGAGAATAACCTCGGTTTGCGCAAAGGAGGTAATGTAACGCTGTGCAGTGCTATGAAGACCTGCGCAAAACGGACGAGTTTTTGTCCTCCGATTCGAGGTCATTCTCTCGTTGAACGGAGTACATACCTATAGAGATGGTGAAAAAAAATCGATTTTTTTATACATATTTTTAAAGTATAATGTTTTAAGAATGTTTTTGTAGAGTTATAAATCAATCCGGCGAAAAATAGGGGAGTTACACGAAATTATAGACAAAAAAGTTCGAGTGCGTTGAAAACGACAGATAGGCGCCGTCTGCGACAGGATGGTTCAAATTCGCGCAGATCAAAGAAGGGTCTTTTTCTATTTATTATATTTATCAATAACAAGCCTCAAAGCATTTAAAAATACGGACGTAACAGTTTTGTCTGGACGAGCAACTGAAAAGATTGAAACGTTAGCAACGAAAAATATAAACTGAATGTAAAACTTTAAACATGTTTTTCTCAAAACGTAGTTTCTAAAACGCGTGACCACTGTATTTTGAAGACGGCTCGATTGATTTGCAATTTTACACACTTTTTACATACTGAAACTAGTTCTTGACGTTTTTTCTTGATTTTTTCCTACGATGCTTAGTTTTTTTTCGTAGCCAAAAATGAGCAAAATTTTTTGTGAAAAATCATTATGTTAACTTTGACTAGCTGCCATTTTATTCAAACGCAATATTTAAAAAAACGGCTCTGTCAAGCACAAGATCTATGCTTTAATTTTATAAAACTTGTGCCACTTTGCTTTCAAAATTTTGTGCGAGTAGCAATGGTCATCGCAAACTCCATTTTGTAAAACATGATGTACGAAAATTTGAATAACGACTCCATTTTATATTATTTTTAAATAAAATTTTAATAGTAAATAGAGACAGAGAAAAGTATGATCTTTACAATGGACTAATCTGACTTCACTATCTCTATCCATTTTTTCACAAAAAATTTGCAAAATTAAATCTCGTTTTGATCCGTTTAGATGTATATACCTACTCTCTTAAAGGAATAGCCTCTCGAAATGAGTGAAAACGTATTTCGTGATTTTTCATAATTTTGAATCGTTTCCAAAATAGAGGGATTGTATAACAGACTTTATAAATATCTTGTATATGTTTGATA